AAAAAAAAATGTATAACTATATTACTTTTCAATAAAATAAACTGAATTAAGTTTGAATACAAGTTTATTTTAAGTTTTTATATGAATTTCTTTCAGACATTCGAAGTAATTCATTAAGCAGCCTATTTCTTTTAATATCTGCAAACTTTTTTTATGCGGTTTTTAGTTAATTTTAACTCGTTGTTTTGGTTTTATGCGATTTTAGAAAATTACGGAACGTATCCCTACTTTTTCAAGGCAAGTAAAGTCTTTTTTTATGCGAATTTTTTTTTATGCAGTTTTCTGTAGAACGTATCCACCGCATAAAACGAGACCTTACAGTAATATTGTAAAAAGAAACTGTCAAATGCAAAATGAATATTTTATGTCCATATAAGGACATATCTGTAAAAATTTCTAAAAAAGTTGAACTACTCAGGTTAAAACAATGGATGAATTTGAGTACTTAGATCAAACGTCTTTGATAGGAATCAAATTGTCAGTCGGAGTTGACTCACCCCGCGATCTGGGTTCCACTCTCGTTACAATTTGTAATGAGAAGGAGGACCAATTAGAGAGCGGGGACAGATTGGCATCGACCTATTGGAATGTGCAATCTGGGACCCAGAAAAAACTTATAAAAACCGTGCAAAAATAGGATGTGACATTCTTGGTTCGTAGTCTTATCCTCCTGGATGTGTGTGTCCCTGCCAAATCTTGAAAAGAATGTTTCGTATCTAGTGGAAGCAACCTCATCTGTAGTGTCACTGGACAACCTCCAGGCTCATCGGTTCTACCTAAAGTAGTGCCATTCGCCCCGGGGCCGACAATTACTTCATCGTCTTTGCTGAACCATAGGAAACAGAAACACAAACTTTTCGAACTCTGCTTGAACTTTATCCTCGCGCTTTGTGGTGTGATAATCCATCAATCAAGACAATATTGTAAGAAATTTTACTGTTAGTAAACGGTTTTATATGGTAAACCTGTCTCAGTGAGTCATTCTGTGCCCACACAACAGTATTGACCGCTCGGCT